GGGATCCGGGAGCGAGTGGGAGTAGGCTACCGCCTCCTCCTGCCCCTCCGTCCGGCGCAGCCGTGACGGCGAATCTTCCTATTCCTCCGCCTGGCCCAGCCAGAGCGGAGCATGCTGATCAGCCTTGCACACATCAAGAACAGTCGTCTCCCACAGTTGAACCGCCGGAGGAGGGGGCAACATATGTTCCCAAGGCATCAGCAACAACAGCCGACTTGAGCGGACAACGAGAAACATAAGTTTATCTCGCGGGACAGAACCCGGATGCCTCAGGCACTCCAGGGCTCTCGGGAGCAGATGCAGAACCTGAGGTTAGTACAGCTTTTCCATGCGATGAGGACCCTGGGCCCGTCGATTCTATGGAAGACGAGACTTGCCTTTTTGGTCCAGCATCTGGGAATATGTTCTGCAGAGTGAGTCTGCCGCCTGCTCCTGACAAGTGACAGAGTGAGCCCCCGCTTACAAATCCCCGCGATGAGGATCAAGAGGTCATTGTCGGGCATGCTGTCTCATTCAAAGGCAGACAGCTATATGTTACGACGGAAGAACGCGAACAAATCGTTCGGAGAACAACGGAACTGATGAAACAGAAGGTTCGCGACGCCCACATGACTGGCCCCGATCCGCCGCGCATCGAAGCCATCCGCAATCAGACAGGGAACGCGCTTCGGTACATTGCAGAGTTTGCGGAAGACCCGATTTTCGCGTCGTTGAGCAGCCTCAGCCAAGGTGACGGTACATTTGATCAGGCAAAGGAGTTCCTCCGAGCTGAGTTCAATTCCGAAGATGCCCTAGAAGGATTTACTCCAAAGACTTTTGCGTGCCTAGTGCCGTTGGTGGTTGGGACCGACGACAACGATAATCCGGCTGCCTCGGGCAGTGCGGAAACTTGGAGTCCCCGGAGCTGCCGAGCGGATATGTTTGCTGAGCGAATAGGCAAATGCGCTGTGTACCTCGCAAGGCATTGCTCGGACCATGCGAGATCGTCGGGTGGCTGGGTCTATTTTGGAGATCTGGCGCATAAGATTGCAGAGGATGGTTTTACTTTCCAATCATATGCCCTTGCCGCACACGGCTTAGCCGCGCTGCCGTCAGAAACAGCGGAAGTTTTGGGAATACTCCCCAAGGATAGTGACGAGATTGTTGGAACCAGTGTTCACAAAATCTGGACACAGTACAAGGCGTGCCCATCACAAGAAAGAGAGAGGAGCGAAATTGCTATACCTATGTTCTATCGAGCATGTCAGGGACATTCAACATTCGTTGCCTCCATTGAAAGGATGTGCGTCCCATATGACCCTGGCCAAGCCAGGAGTCATGGATCTCTTCTTCATATCACGGACATGCAGACATTCTCGGAATCCACGGATGGGAGAGTACGCTTTCCGAAGAGAGACTCAGGGCTGTGTCTTGAAGCAGACTACGATTTGCTGAGGCTGCTTCCGACTAAAAGAAGCCCAACAATGCTTGATGCGACACACATTCTTTCGTGGCTCAGCCAGCGGAGGTACGGAGAAGCTCCCCCTTCCAAGGATTTTTGTGCCCATGGGACGTGAGGCGCAAGAAGGAGAACCGCCGACGGTGGGGCAATGGCCCGCAGACGACACCGTCCATCTGTGGGAACAGCTCCCCAACCATCGTGAATCCTGGGAGCTTATTCTCGTTTTCACGGGCCGAGTGCTCTCTCGTCTCGCACAGGATTTGCCCAGACGGGACCCTAGTGTCTCGAGAGGTGCCGAGGTTCACCGATATCGACAAGGCCGCCACCCTCGTTAGACAAGCACATCAGATGTTTTGGTCAGTCCTTTTCAATCGCGAGTGGGCCTCGTGCGAAGTGACTTCTGACAACGAGTCGATTATTGCTTGGATTCACACAGACGAGACTCTGTCGTTGGTTCGGAATCGTTGGCCACAGCTGTCACCCGAAGTGCAGGAACGGGTTCTATCCGTCCCTTGAGAGGATGATGGAAGATTCCAATGCTTCCGTTTTCACTGGGTGCGAACGGGCTTCGAACATTGTCCAGTTTGCAGCTGTCGGATCAAATGCAAACACAGAGTCACACACGACTATATGACCCAGACGTGGAACTTTAAGGTAATCCCGCGATCCCTTGAGGCAAGTGGACTTAGATTACATGTGAACGATCACTACAATATTCCCTACTATCGTCCCGAGTGGGTCAAAGTGCGTGGGTTGAGACAACAGAGAGGTTCTGCGATTGTGATGAAGAATATCAGCAGCAATCAACAGCAGGAGCGAAAGTGGGCCAACGGGGAATTTGTTCACATGGCTGCAACAGGCCAGATCTTTGGGAACAGCCTGCCAGGCAATTTCCCCGCTTGGGTTCCAACGGACGCCGCGGCTCAGACGCCGGCGCGCCATGGCCCTTTCTTCCAGCATGTGAAGCCCTTGGTCCGAAGGTTCATTGAATGGCTTGCGCGCTCAGCCTCAGGAGCGAGAAGGCAGACCCCTGTGATCCAGACCTGGTGGCCATTGCTATGGAAGACAAATATTGACCAATACGCTCGCCCAATATCTTGCCCGGCTCTGGCAGCCTTCGACTGGCCGAATCTACAGGACGACATAGTCGAACCTGTGATAGGCTGGGAGAGATGGCATGACCAGATGACCAGACGAAATGTTCTTGTCCCGACGATTCAAACGATTGATGACGCGGTAGCCTTGGGGACACCATGGTTGCCTGCGCAGAATGAAGACGTCGTGGAAGACGCAGGACAAAACTCTCACGCTGGGCAAAACCCTCGCGGACGATTGCCAGTCGCCTGGGAGAACAATCTCGAGGCGAGGCCGACTCGCAGCTCTCAGTCCGTTGCAAGACGGATCAACGAATGTCGGGATCATCGCCTCATAATACCAGTATTGCAACCCGCCACCGGCGCAGCCGCGAGGGCAGGCGGGCAATCACAGATAGGACTGGACTTCTCAGCAATCAGCGGGCCCAAGGCCGCGCTGATATCCGGAGGGGCGATCAACCTTGATCAGCCCGAAGGATATACATACAATCATTGCGAAGACCATTCAGTAAATATATCTTTGCACGGGTTGGAGGCTAGGGCGATTGCAGCCCGATATGTTATCGAATGCCCAGGCATTCGCCCAAACCCAAATGATCCCGGCAGATTACAACTGCAAGGGGAAATGGAACATGAGGCCCCACCAATTGTGACGAGCATAGTTGATGGGAACTGGTTGGCCCCTGTACAGCAGATGCAACTTGGTCTTCGGCCCATAAGAATATTTGCTATCGTTCGCGAGACCATGAGCTCCCTCATTTCAGATGGACACTTTGTCGGCTACCCGGGGCGAAGAATTCGTCCCGATAGAGAGAGCACAGACCCCATAGACATGATGCGGCGGCGAGATGAATATGCCCTTGACTGTCGCATTCGCGCCGCCGTCCAGACGGATGACATGATAGAAGAATGGGCCCGTCATTTGGGTAGGCAGGTGCAGACCGACGTCCGTCGCGAGGGCGCTTTATTACAAGAGGCCGTTTCTTGGCTTCAGAACAAATATATAGATCCTGGGACAGAGCTCCAGGATAAAGACGCAGGGCCATTCCGCACTGCGATCGGAAGATTCGGCATCCCAGTAGCTACAGCTGCTAGGAGTTTGTTGAAATTCGTGCGAGATCGTGAGAACAGAAATGCCAATCCACAACACGGCGGCGAAGCCGACCCCGTGGGGCCGGTAAGAGCACAGGATGCGGCGACAGCCAGACCGCACCCACCACCTCCACCGCGCAGACCCAACGTCTCAGACGCTCGGGCTACCGATGACGCTACCGAATCCCCACATTCTGTCGCCGGCACAGCTGTGACGACAAGAGAGGAACACTCATGGTATTCCGATGCTTGGGATTGGTCGGGGCCCCAGCGCGCGCGCGATGGAGCCATGGATGTCGGCCGCGGCGCTGCCGGCTACCACCCGCTCCTGTCCTACCCGCACTACGTGAATAATGTGCATGTCGGGCACTACGTCCACCGGGGCCGGATCACGTGGTTGCCCGACGAGGTCTGGTGGACGCTGGAGGTTTGGCATACACTGTCTACATTTGAACATGACTTTCGCTTCCCGCCGAAGGGGGAGGCGTCCAAGAACAAGGAGAAGAACTACAGTGCTGCATACTATACTAATAGAGGGAAAGGACGGTCCCGCTCGCCTCGTGGCGGAGACGGACAGACTGGAGGCTCGGCGCCGTCGAACCCGACGCCTCCGGCGCCACCAACGGGAGAGGAGAACCCGTTGGAGGAGCTGGGCTGAGATCCGCCCGCGCGACTTAGTCGCGGCAGGCGCATGCAAGGAAGTTCTCGTCCACACGCGGTGCGCGTGATGGACGGGTAAGCGACTCTACTGGTCGGCTAAGCCGAACCAGCGGAGATAATTTATTTATTTGATGGTGGGAGTCGTCGGGCCTCTTCGGCCCTTAGCCCCCTTGCAGCCACCGCTGAGCCGTAAAATTATTTTGCGGTTGGCTCCGGTGGTTGTGTATATGTATAGGCCAGGGGTGCTGTGGCCGGATGGGCTCTACGAGGCCCGCCGCGGGGGGAGAAAATCTGCTCCTCTCCGCCTCATTAATATCGCTTGTTGTTACACTTGCAAGGTGCGCACTGTATGAATTGAACTTATGCTGCATACTGCAGCCGTTTGTTTACTCAAGCAAGCTATTCGTTTGATTGCAGGAGAGAAAAGGTGCGAGCTTGCCCGCTCGCGTGCGCCGCGGGGTCGCCCCCGCGTCGTCGTCGCGTCGCTGGCCGGCTGGCCACCTCCCTTACCATTCCTGATATAGTAAATTTGCTTACCGGATACTTGTCTTATCGATGTCTCATCCCGCACCCTCTCTCCCTGAGCAGAGTGAGCGTGAGATCTTAATTCCTTTGGCATCTTACCCCGATTCTCAGAGGAAAGACTGTCCTGGGTGCAAGCACTGCTTGGGGAAGAGGAGGAGAAGGCAAACTGGACGGCAGCCCTGGGACAGGACGGTGTGGACCAGGAGGTCGTCGACGTCCCCGAGGCTGGATGCGGCGCTGGAGCACTCCCAGTGTGCAGCCACAACGCCAACCTCGGAAGCGAGAAGGAGAAGGAGGACGAGGAGAAGGGGTGAGGGCAGGGAAGAGGAGGATGAGCTTCATGAGGTTAGTCGGGGGCCAGGGGAGGCTTGCAGCTCGTCCACATCTCTCTCTCTCTCTTTCTCTCGTTTTTTTGTTTCTCTCTCTCTCTCTTTTTCTCTCTCTCTCTCTCTCTCTCTCTCTCTCTCTCTCTTTCTCCTCCCATTTGCATGTATACGTGCGTGTTGATGTATGTGTGTGTACATCGAAGACCCGTACGGCGAATCGCCGCCGCCCCCTGCCTTCCTTGAAATGATGATGTGGCCAAACGTCCATACAAAGCCTGGTCAAGCTATTTTGTGCTCCGCCAGCGAGTGGGTGGGGGGAGTAGGAAGGATGACACAGGGGAGGGGAGGGAGGAAGGATGCATGGAGGCAGAGAGAGAGAGAGAGACAGAGAGAGAGAGAGAGAAACATGAAGCACATTCACATGCACACCTATCTATCTATCTACATATACTGGAACCATCGCGCCATCGCGCGCGCTTCGCGCGCGCTCAAGTTCTAGCTTGGCTTGATGGGCGAACACATGGAATATCATCCTTGTCGTTTCTTGCATCCGGCGACTCTCTTGGAGGCCCCGCGTAAGCCTCGGTACCGTATAGAAGTGGAACTGCGGAAACGCACAAATCATTAATTGCCGTTTGGTATTCAATGATTTGGAGCCCTCGAAGGCTTCCTGAGTTCTGTTCTGGGGCCTTCATTGTGGCCTGTTGTGCAAGAGTAGACAGGGTGGCGAACTTGGAAAAAACGGAATGGGGGGATTTCCCTTTTTGTTCAAGTTGTAGTGCCTGGGCTGTGAGGTAGACGTTTTCTGCATACAGACCACGGTCTGTTGGGATGCCTCTCGGTTCTAAAATGGTTTCAGGGGCAGCCAAGAGAACACGAAGACGATCCAAGAGAGTGCCAAGACAGCGTCAGAGAGTTCAACAACATTCCCGAAACATTTTTGCATGTGACCTCGAAGTCTTGATGGGGCTCGAGGAAGCGGATCGGGAGTAGGAGTCCCAACTTGAAAAAAAAGGAATCCATGGAATTCCCTTTTTTTCGAATTCCACGATCTTGGAGCGTTGGAAGCGGGCAAACGTGAGAAGGCGAAAAAAGCAGACAAAAACCATTGAGGTCTCAAACGGCCCGGGGACGACCTAAGGGCGCCCCAAGTCAGTTCAAGAGAGTCCGAAGCAGTCCACGAGAGCCTCCCGACGGTTCCAGATCGCTCCAAGAAGCCCAAGATTGCCTCCAGAAGGCCCAAGACGCCTCCCAGACGGCCCAAGAGGGCCTCGTCGGAGCTTCCTTGGGGGCCTCTCAGGGGTCTGGGGTGTGTTGGAGGCCGCTGGGGGGTCCCGGAGTCCTCTCGGAGGTCTCGGAGCGTTGGAAGCGGGAAAACGTGAGAAGGCGAAACAAGTTTACAAAAACAATTGAAAATCAACGATTAGACCCTCTTCGGCTCTCTCGGGACGGCTCTCGAAGCTCTCTTGGGCTGTTTGGGGGCCTCGTCGAAGCTTTTTTTGCGGACCTCTCAGGGGTCTGGGGTGTGTTGAAGGCCTCTGGGAGGTCCGGGAGTCCTCTCGGAGGTCTCTGGCGGCCTCCTGCTCCTGCTCTTGGGCTCATCTTGGGCCTGTTCTGGGGTGGTCTGGGACTGTCCTGGGAGCCTCTTCGGCAGTCTTGGGGCCGTCTTGGCCCGTCTTGGGGCCGTTTTGGGGGCCTCTTGGGCGGTTTCGGGGCGGTCTTGGGGGCCTCTTCGGCCGTCTTGGAGCGTTGGAAGCATGAAATGGGGAGAATGCCAAAAACTATGAAAGAAAATCATGGAAATTAACGATTTTAGGTTCCCCGGGCGCTCTCGGGAGGCCTCTCGGAGTTCTCTTGAGGTCTTTTGGGGGCCTCCTGGGAGCCTGGAGAGCTGCCCGAAAGCTATCCTGGGTTACTTGGGAGCGTCTTGGGCCTTGCTTTGACGTTCTGGGGGCTTCTTGGGGTCGTCTTGGGCTGTTCTTGAACGTTTTGGGGGCTCCCCCGGAGGTCGGGAAGCGCGGTACTGGGAGCTTTCCGCAGATGTTCCGGGAAGGTGTGGGACCCCCGGAAGGAGGGGGCGCGCATTTTCTTATTGGGAATATTTGATATTTTGGTTCTCTAAATTCTCGGTCTCGGAGCGTTGGAAGCGGGAAAACGTGAGAAGGCGAAACAAGTTTACAAAAACAATTGAAAATCAACGATGAGACCCTCTTCGGCTCTCTCGGGACGGCTCTCGAAGCTCTCTTGGGCTGTTTGGGGGCCTCGTCGACGCTTTCTTGCGGACCTCTCAGGGGTCTGGGGTGTATTGAAGGCCTCTGGGAGGTCCCGGAGTCCTCTCGGAGGTCTCTGGCGGCCTCCTGCTCCTGCTCTTGGGCTCATCTTGGGCCTGTTCTGGGGTGGTCTGGGACTGTCCTGGGCGCCTCTTCGGCAGTCTTGGGGCCGTCTTGGCCCGTCTTGGGGCCGTTTTGGTGGCCTCTTGGGCGGTTTCGGGGCGGTTTTGGGGGCATCTTCGGCCGTCTTGGAGCGCTGGAAGCATAAAATGGGGAGAACGCCGAAAACCATGAACAAATAATGATAATTAACGATTTTAGGTTGCCCGGGCGCTCTCGGGAGGCCTCTCGGAGCTCTTTTGAGGTCTTTTGGAGGCCTCCTGGGAGCCTGGAGAGCCGCTCGAAGGCTATCCTAGGTGGGTTGCGTGGGAGCGTATTGGGCAATTATTTTATGTTCTTGCTCGTCTCCCGTTCAATTCTAAGGGGGGCAGTAGCGCAAGCATAATTAGCAGGGGACGGGCAGCGGAAGGAGAGAAATGTCCCGTGCATGTTTGGCTCAAGAAATGATTGTAGATTCACCTCACTCCCCCAACTATCTCGAGGGAGGGCTGAAGCATGGTATCGCGGAGCTGACTGACGTTCCGCGGCCGTGAAATCCACTGCGCGACTTCTGCAGCGGAGCATCGTCGAGATGGAGCAGCAGCTGCAGCAGCAGCAGCAGCATATTGCCGACTTGCTGCAGACTGTCCAGCGCCTGCAGGAGCAACAGCAGGAGCAGCAGCAGCAGCAGCAGCAGCGGCAAGCAGCAGGACAAGCACTTGGTCCTGCTCCCCGCATCGCCCAGCCCCTGAGGGCGTGCTGGACGCGAAGATCATCGGAAAGGTGAAGCAGTTCGACGGCAGCAGGGCCGCGTGGTCCACTTGGGAGTTTCACTGGAGATCGTACATGATAGCGAACGACAGGCGGTACAAGGACTTCTTCGAGAAGCTAGACGATAAGACCCTGGACCAGCTCGACCTAGTCAAGAACGCGACCGTGGCCGTCGACGACGTAGACTACGAAGATTTGAGCACACAACTCTACTACATGTTCGTGCTCGCCATGCCAGAAGATTCTGCAGGAGAGACGATCATGCGCAACGTATTGCACGGAGAGGGCGGTCAGGCCTGGCTACGACTTAAAGGAGAGTGCGCCCCCAACGAGCCTGGCAACGTGGTTGTGCGCGCGAGGCAGCTCATGAGCACACAGTTCCCGCAGAACACGGACGTGGCGAACGAGATAGAGAAGCTGGACATGGAGATTAGCAAGTACGAGAAGGCTGCTGACGAGCAGGTGAGCGACAACATTAAGAAGGGTATCTTGCGCGGCGCGCTGCAGAACGAGACAGACTTACAGAACCGCGTCTCCCGAAACTTGAGGAATCTTGCCACCTACCTTGACGTCGAGAATGAGGTCATGAGCGCCCTGAAGGCCCAGCGCGGCTTTGATGATGACGCGATGGAGATCGGAGCGCTGAAGGGCAGGCCGAAGGGCACAGGCAGGGGCAAGACTGACAAGGACAAGGACAATAATAAGAGCAATAACAAGTTCGAGCCGAAGGCGAAGGATAACCCGAACCACCCTCGGAAATGGCGCAGTCACCGCGAGAAGCCGAACCATATCAAGGACGACTGCTGCAAGTTCAAGCGAGAGAACCAGGTCAAAGCCGAGGCAAAGAAGAAAGCAAAGGAGGAGAAGATGCAGCGTCGTGCCATGGCAGCGGCCCTCGCCGCCAACAACGGCACCTTTCCTGCTGGAGCCCCTCTTCCATTTGGGTTCGACGGCGCACAGTCCACGCCGCAGAGCTCGGCCTACAACTCGACGCAGACGCCTGGCTCCCCAGGGGCGGCTTCGTCGGTGAGCACGACAACGACGCGGCAGATCGGGGCCCTCGTCGTGGAACAGGGCACCGTCCAGCCGAAGTGCATATTCGCCCTCTCGGTAGAGCGCGCGAGCCCGAGGGCGAGGCCAGCGAAGGCAAGGGGCTCGAGGCAGATCACGGGCAGCAACGACGCTCGCATCTCAGGCGCCCGCAGGGTCAAAAGAGTCACGGTAGACTCAGGAGCTCAGATCACAGCGTTCCCTTGCAAGATGCTGAAGGAGAAGGGCTACGAGCTCGCCAACTCGGGCACCTCCAAGCTGCAGGCCATCGACGGCGCGCAGGTCCAGCGCCACGGCAAGACGGACGTCCGCCTGCAGACGGGCAAGGACGTGATTCAGATCTCGGCGGAGGCCGCCGACGTGGAGTTTCCCGCGATGTCCACCGACGCGATCACTAAGCAGGGCAAGTCGGTCATCCACTCTCCCTTAGGCGATTGGATCGTGGACAGTCCAATCTCACCTCCGACGGCGACGAGCTCGATCAAGCTGACGAAGGATCGGGGCACGTGCAACCTGGAGTACGATGAGATGCTGGACAGCGTGGCAGCGGGCAAGCACGCGGCGCGCATGGCGAGCATCGCGGACCCGGGCAACACCGAGGCGAACACCGCGGAAGCTGGCGGCGAGCAGTTGGGCGAGCAGCTGTACATCGGCGCGGCGCGCAGGACCTTGCCAGCACAGGCCCCGGCCGCAGAGGACCGACAGCAGTTGCCGAAGGTGCTCGGCCCCGACCCCAGCGAGAACATCACGCTGAAGGCGAGGGGGCTTCCCAGGCCAGGTCAACCC